TAGTACTATCATTAGTACATAATAACAATGCATGGAACATACAAAAGAGGAATGAATTCATGATGAATAACAATTTTTCCTATTGCATACCTAGAAGTATCACAGGAATGAAAAACTTCACACAACTTTGCTCTTCAGGAAACAACAAGCACAACATTCTGTCTGTTCACATCATCATCCTTGTACAAAGTGCTATCTATGGAGCCCATGCACACATACACGCAATACTGAAGTCTTGTGATCCATTCTTTGTGAAACCCTGTAAAAATAACTTCTCCCCACAAAGGTACACCATCAGGAAAAGACAAAGATAAAGAATAAAACTCAAGGCCTGTCACACACGCAGAAACAAGTCTGACAGGGACGGCACTGCACAGGAAAAATTCTATCATGTGATGACATGTTTTTGATAATTTAAAGGACCAAGGTAGACTACTTTCACCAAACTTACCAAAATAAACACATCTTGTACTCTTCTACATACACCATATTCTCTTATGAAGTCTGAAAATAGGAAATTTCACATTACTCTCATTTCTGCTATGAGAGTAAATCTGATGTAATAAAGCACTGTTTATGATATATGTATTACAGTTATAAGTTATGTTAAGCTATTATAATGAAGAATTAAGAGTAATTATTCTGGATGATTCACGGTATTTTCTGTGGCAAATCAAACAAACAAAAAAACTTTGGTTCTAGCACATTGACAAACAAACAAATAAGTTACTCAAAATGTTACACCTATGTTTGGCCAAGCATTAATAAACTTTCCTTTGATTAATCACAATCATGAGATATTACTCAATATATATAGACAAGAGCCTGGATCAGAGCCCTAAAAAAACGATATGAAGGAACCATTCCTTAACTCAGAAATCACTACAAAGGTTTCATTATCTAAGTTTCAGATCAGTACATATTTCTTTCTCTCTCTTTTTTTACTTTTTCTTTTTTTTTGCAGTAATGTGAAGAGCAGGCTACCAACAAATTAAGTAAAAATTATCCAAATCAGAATCTCTCCTTAAAACAAATCAACAACATATTTTGAAGAATATATAGGAAACTTTGGCACTTCTTAACAAGCTAATACACCTGGTGGCATCTGACAAATACTGATGAATATCCTATAAACATTCAATCAAAACGGTTTTCATTCATGTAGCAAACAAAACTGAAAATTAAAACAAACAAATGGAAAATCAGGTTAACAAAATTCCAATAAGAAAAATAAAGTAGTCCTAAGCTCACCACATTTCTGTCTTTCTGTTTAGTTACTTATCATAAACTGAATGCATCTGTTTTCCGTCCTTCCTCGATTTTTTCTTACAACTACCATCGTCATAAATCCTATTTCAGTGTCAATTGCCACAGTCGTCTGCAGGGATTTTGGGATTCATACCTGAGTAATTCGTCCTCGTTAAATCTTCACACCTGCAGAAATAAATAAATCTTCAAATAAATAAAATGTTATAAATCAGAGTAAAGGGAAAATATCAAAATCAAAATCAATTGAATCAAAATATAAAAAACTCAACAACAAACATTAAAACAACATTAAGCAACAACAAAAAATATATTCAACACAACAGACAACATAATCATAAAAGTAATTATAAATCATAATCAAACAAAAGAAGAAATAATATCCTCCTTCGTTTCAGTTAATACTTGAAACTCATCCTCCCACTCAGTATGGTTTCTCTATATGTTCACAAATTACTCCTAAGAAACATCAAAGGTTCATACCAGAAAGTAAAATGCCATTTTGATAATTATAGGTAATCATGATAGCATTGCCGACCTGATACTATTGTGGATCTCAGTGTCTCCTATATAGATAATGTAATGACTGCTTTTAGACTAAGTAATTACTGGAAGTGAGAAAATGCAAATCTAATCAACTTTATACTAAAATGTATACATGAAAATACTGGTAATGATACATGTACATATATTATCAAACCCTCAACTCTTTTCATGCCTGACAACTCAAATTCCAACTGAACATATGGAAGATGACGAAGAATCTATATGGAAGAGTAAAACTGTTACTTTGGTCAGGCCTCACTAACCTCTGTTATCTGGTTGATAATGAAACTTATTAACTTCCATATCTCCTTTCATCCACATTCCAATAATAAAATATTCTTTCTCCCTCTTTTCTTTGTACACATTAATTTCAAGCATAAAAACTGCCACACTAAGCCAATTATACTGATGCACTTCCCTATATCCACATTTGGGAACCATGCAAAAACACAGCAAATAGACCCCTTACAGCTCCTCAGGAGACTGTAAATCCAGCCGCTTTTGCTACTCAACTCACCACTTAATCCGGATCTTAAAAAATTGCTAAATGAATATAACATGATAATAAACACAGGAGGCCTACGAATGCATCACCTTGAGCTGCTTCATTTTGGGGGCTCGGCGTTTCATCTGGCGGCGATGTTCGCGCTCTTCCCATTTGCGTTGCTTGTCAGGATCATCAATCTGTCAACAAGAAACTGACTACGGTAAATAAAAGAAAAACAAAAAAGACAGAAGTGCTCACAGATAAAATGGCAATGGCTCATTTGATGAGGCAAATAAATTCTTATCTAATCTATCAAAGAAATGTAAATTTCAATCACTAGCAAGTTCCATATCTTCAATTAAAAATGATTATGAGTGCCCTATATTCTAGTAAATGTGTTTTAAAACTACAGTAAAGCAATCTTTAGACAATTAAAACTTTCCATCATTTTCTGATGTCACAAAAATTATTTGAATGCATAAAGATTTCTTTATTTTCATTTCCTTACCTTTTAAACTTTCTAACAAATATTTTTATAAAATACCCTATATCTTGCCTAAGTTTTACTGATACTTTATCCCTCATCATAAAAGAATCACTTAATAAAGGCTTCAATATATGAAAATACAAATCATCTTTACATAATCTAGCATGGTTTTAAACATCAAATCCTAATTAGAATATATACAAACATTAATTCAGAATTTAAAATAGAGTTAATTAATAAGAAAAATACCAATCATGGAAATTCAAAACCAAATGACAAGAAAAACATTGAATATGGAATTTTTGACGCAGTGGAAATTAGCAACATGACACTGCATGTTATCTGACCTGAAGCATCTTCTCACGCTCCACCCTCTTGCGTTCCTCTCGCTTTTGCTGTGCCTGCTCAGCTCGCACAGCATGAGTGGCCTTCAGGAATGCCTCCTCCACACGAGCACGATTCTTCTCAGCCTTTGTCTTACCCTGGGAAAAGAAGGACATGAGGTAAGGGCTGGAGTATGGGATATTTCTTCCATGAGTGTAATGTCTTTATCAATGAAATTCTCTCTCAAAATATATCTGCTACAGAAACAAAGACATTCTTTTAATAACTCTTTACTGCAATACTAAGCACCATCTAAAACACAAAGGAATCTTTTTCATCTGATACACTTGTTCTGGAATAGAACATGTTTGACCTCTCTGCAAATGCAGTAAATTATTCCTCAATAAACTTCCATCATGAATAAAATATTCACAAGGCATTCAAAATACATACTCTTCATTAAAGACACCAAATGCATTTACAACACAAATGACAGTGCTAAAGAGGCATACCACCCAATACCGAAAACAGTGGCCTGGTGTCAATACAAAGAGAGCTGCCCTCACCTCCTTGCTGAGCTTGAACCTCCTAATCTTGTCTGTCAAGTGGAACACCAGCTGCAGGAGGGGCTTCATGCCCTCAATGGCATCCATGGAGGGGTTCCCACGGCCAGGGAAGTTGAATCCAAACACCAGAGCCTTGCGCACTTCCGGAAGTTTGGCTGGTTGGGTGTCCCTGAAGTTAGGGACAAAAAATAGGGTAAATGAGAAAAGAGATGACAGGACAAGAGAGGAGAGGAAAAGAAACGAGAAAGAGAGAAACAGAGGGAGAAGAAAACAAGCAAGAAAGAGAAAAGAGAGAGAGAGAGAGAGAGAGAGAGAGAGAGAGAGAGAGAGAGAGGGAGAGGGAGAGGGAGAGGGAGAGGGAGAGGGAGAGGTGTGCTGATGTGGGGGGTAAGTGCTTTTGCATGTCTGTGCTTCTGTTTACAATTTTCTAAATCTTTACTGTGTGACATATACATGTGTGTTCAAGCACAAGTGTGTGCTTGTGCATGTGCATGGTATTTTGCATGTATCTGCATTTGCTGTGTGTGTGCTTGTGCATGTGCATGGTATTTTGCATGTATCTGCATTTGCTGTGTGTGTACTTATGCTCCTAGTTTTCTACATATAAAACACTCAAGCTGATTTTTTTTTATATACTGTGAAAGCATTTATACTCATATTTGACTTTACTAAATCAGCAAAACTGAATATGTTACACATAAAACCTTCACTTCTTACCTTCCCTCTGTTCCTCTTTAAGACATGAAAATGAAGCAGTAACCAAAATAAAAACCAAGTACAAAGCAAGAATACCCCATTTTTTTGTATCCTAGACCAACTACTGTAAGTTACTCTTAGCAAATTTTATTAATTTTGATGAACGGCAACCTTTAGGTTAGGTAAACTTTATATTTTCCCTAAAATTTCAGACTAGAAAAAAAAATTCTAAGGCAAGGAATGTACTTCTACAAAATATTATGCAACACACATGACTAGTAATCATGACAGATTCAGAACCACTGTAGTAAAGAATTAAAGTACAGAAAGTCCCCAATTTACGAACATAATGGGGACTGACAGGCTGTTCGTAACTCCATTTGTTCGTATATCCAAAGTCGGGTCTCTATTGCCTTTTTTCCCATTATTTTAAAGTTTTGTTTACATTAAGAATACCTGTACATAATTCCCAAGAAGTATTTTTGATGGATTGATGCACAGGTAAAGCAAATTATGGCACAAAAATTGGCAGTACATGAGGACACAGTGAACAGATGCTTTCATGTTTATGGCAGGAGGGCAGACGAGTGATGTGCAAAGCTGAGTGAGCATGGCAGACTCTTGAACTATATTCGCACCCAGGAAATTTGAAGTTTGTTAGCATCTTTCAAACAATTTTTATGACTTAAGTATTTTTTTAAATTTGTTTGTATGTATGGAATGTTCACAGATAAAGTGTTCATAAGTAGGGGACTTACTGTAAGTGGCTGGGTGACAAACTCTGATCTACTGCCCAAGAAAAGCCACGTATTCAGAGCTGTTGAAAATACTATAACAAAAAATCCCAAACAGGCAGATGTGCATGACACATTAAGCTGTTATATTTCATACTGATTTTACTATTTTCACACAATCAAAATTTACCATTTTCTAATTATGACAGTTTATAACCACAATACCAAAGACATTTCCACTTTATAGAAAAGTAGAAAAGCCTTGTTATGCTAGTGAATACAACATCATTGCCTTTTATCAATCTTAAAAGCAACCTCTATAGGTCTACTTTAACGAAAGAGAAAGACATTTGAATACATTTCCGTCTTCAGAACAATTTACAAAACACTTACTCAGGCTGCTTGGGTCCAGAATATTGGTCAGAGAAATGGAAGAAGTCAACCAAGCCTGGGAATTTATTGAGCACAGCTGTCACTTTGTGGTCACCTAGTATTGTTGACGACACTTCACCTAGTTCGTTCATCATCACAAACTGCGATCCCAGGCCAAACTTCTCAGGTGACTTTTTCTCAGGGCAGAAAGTGCTCTGTGAATAGATTGTTGTACATTTTAGAAAAGAATGGAAAAAACACACAAGAAAAACAAGAATGTCAAGAATACCTTCCTACTTTTTCCCTATGAATCTTTTCAGAATATAGGAAGATGGGGTTTAGAACAATAAAGTGGTAATGTGCATGGCTTGGGACCTGTTGCATCTCCAAGCCAAGAAGTGTGGGCTCTACTATGGTCAGAAATTAGGAAGTGTGCCCATAATGACCTGTACCTGCCATTTGAAATTCCTTTGAAAAGAAAAGAATTTGTGACACAACACTAATAATCAACAAGAACAACTAACAATAATTGTAATTATAATAATGTTAAATAATAGTATCAACAGTATTAACAACAATGATGATAATACTAATAACAATATCAATAACAAAAAATAAATAAATGAATAAATAAATAAATAAAGAAAAATAATAATAACAATTACAAAAAAAAAAAAAAATAATTATCACAATCAATATCATCATTGATGATATCAATTATCAGTAACATGCAGCAATAAAATAGTGATAACAAGAAAAACTAGAGAGCACTCTGGTAGTGCAAACCACCTCCTATAGTAACAGAGTGCCCTAGCAAATATTTCATCAGAATTCATTGATAACTTTTTGTATGACTGCAATGCTGACAGGCAGTGGCAGGTCCTGATGGGGGGATGGAGTTGATAAAGTATATAGAAAAATATAAATATTATCCAGGAGGTAATTAAATATAGTTGCATAATAGGATGTCAGTTAATACTTTGAACTTACAATTTCTAAATTTTTATGTATAGATATAACAATCATTTTCTTAACTGAAACTATAAAAATCAAGACCATCTACTTACTACCAACTTTAATAAATACAAGTGTTATAATTTGCTCTGAATTGCTTGGAAAATGAAATAATAAAATGACCACAGGGAGAGCTATCCTTCCTCCACAATGATTAACTTCACTGCTTGGTAATAACTGATAACCTAATTCAACTCCCCTTCGGAACATTTTAGATCCCATGCAGTCAACAAGAGGTACTGCTATGAATTCTAAGCAGCACACCCATTTCCTATCAGGGTTTGGTGAAGGATTCTTTCATTTCATTCTGGTCCAGATGCCAATACAGATCCCAACCAAAATCTAATCAATCACGCCCTAGTAAAACCTTTTATGTAGATGTAATAACAACAATTATAATGACAATGAGAGTGATTGTAAGAGTGTGTGAGATTGATGATGATGATGATTGATGTTAACACATGCTGCCAGGGAAAATGCTGTGCTCATTTTTTATATTTTTGTGAAATATCTTTGCACATAGATGGCTCTGCTAGTGCTAGCCACAAAGGAGTCAATTAGTAGACCTTGTGACCTTACCTCATTTCATCTTTCCTTAAATTGGCAGGAAAAGCATATTTTTTACTAATGCTATAAATAATGACAATGACAATGGCGATGATGATGATGATGATGAAAATTGATGACAATGATGATGATCATGATGATTGATGATTGATGATATGACAGTAATAATAATAATTATAATAACAAGAATAGCAATAATGGCAATTATAAAATCATCTACGTACAATGTCTGTCATCTCCTTGGCCAGCCTGCCAGCTGTTTTCTTGGTGGCAAGCGAGAAGACAAAGGAATCCATCTCATCAAGGTGGACCTTCACAAGCAGCTGGTCACTTGATGGACGTATAAGCTGGGATATCACACCAATCATGTCTTGTCTCTGGTGAAAAACAAGATGGGAGATTGCTATGGTGTTTTCTCAGGTCACAAATCATAACAGTGAAGAGATATGTTAAACATGGAATTTGAAATGTGAGAAAATGACCCCAATATCATTTGTTCACAAATGGTATATACTTTATAGGAAATAATTCATATACATACTTTTATGAATTTCAGTTCCACTAGCATTCCTTCAACATTGACGCGACCAGAGCACCATAGTGTATAAACATTCTCAGATTCCTTTTGCAAACCTGCATTTTCTGGTGGCATCTTACCATCATCCCCTGAAATTCAGTTTTATGTCTGTAAGTCTGTATTAATCTAACATACATACTTAATATGTACAACAGCCAATGCATATGAGCAGATACCAGAAAAAAAATCAATTTGGTATATGATTACTGTTAACAGCTTTCATATAAACTAAGCAGGCTCCAAACTTTTACCAATCGTAAAATATAAGATTCTTACCAACTAGAGCAAAGTTCTGCTCCAAAAGGCTTCTATGTGAATTATACCAAGCATTGGCTAGTTTCTGGTTTTTAGATTTTCCCACTATGAAATTGATAAAGTACACAACAAGCCCTGCAATCATCAGCATTTCTAGGTAGAAGCTATCCCAGTTGCTTCGAAGATGAAGGGGAACCTGCAAAAAATAGCAAGATTAGGTTAACAATGACAGCAAACTGGACCCTGCAATATACTATGTCCATTATACAGACAATATTTAACATTTGGCCCAAATACTAACATTAGCTATGGTAATCTTGGGTTCCTCTTGTGTTTTGGGCACCCTGGCTCCTTGGGGACGCTCACTGTCAAATCCAATGAATTCCTCTTCATCGTGGAAGTGACTGAATTCATCATTCTCATCTTCATCCTATGAAAGAAAGTTTTCATCATAAAATTAATTCAGAATCTTTTTATTCATTTCTTTTTTCTATATAACAAAAATCTCATGGCATGAAAAACCACATATATTTTTGCAACTGTACCAAAATAGCACAATACTTGCCTCAACCACTGCTTCCTCTTCATCCTCCTCCACATCCATTCTTTGGCCACCCCCTTCCTGGCTGCCGCCACCTCCTCCCCCTGCTCCTCCTCCTCCTGCTCCTCCTGCTCTTGATGCTGGTGCTTCTTCCTTGGTTTGTGCTTCATCCTCTTCTCCTACTATCTCCTCCTCTTCATCAAATACTTCAAATTCGGCAAAGTCATTGTCCTCGTATTCTTGCACAGCAGCATTAATTCCAATGATTCCAATGAGGAACAGGGCAAATATTAATGATCTCATCTGCAAGAGGAATTCAAATTCCCTTTAAGTGAATGTCCTCTATGAATACACACATTATCAATGATATATAATGGCAAGGAAAAAACGTAAAAAAAAAGTGTGCACAATTAATATTCAATGATTTACAAAAGTAAAAAATATATAAAATAAATGCAGTTATACATCTTTGGTGCAAAAAAAATGGATACAGAAAAATCTGCCATTCCTAAGAAAGGTAAATGGATGTTATAACAAAATAAAAAGTCATTGTTAATAGTTCTATTCATATACCTGAGACTTACAAAGCCTTCCTGTTTGATCTCTATTCATTAGCAAAAATACAAGATGCAATTCCTGGGAAAGGTATATAGGATAAAGGTTGGGTAGACAGAAAATCAATCCACTCACATCGGGAGCCCCTGCCACAATAGCAAACCATGTGCCAGGGTGCATGCAGAGACAGCTGCTCACGAGAAAAATCAGACATAAGAAACATAAATTTTATCTCACTCTCCTTACTCTTGGATGTGATATACACAACTGTTAAAGTGTTGTGGTTAAAAAAAGACAAAGCCTAATTTTACGAGATGGTTACTCCTCAGTGACTACACTTGGGGCACAACTGTTTATTAGTGTGCACAACTCAGCCGAGCATGAAATGAAGACGTCTTCCTGGCACATGGGGTTGTCTACCAGAATGTGATAGGATCGTTCCAGCATGAGTGGGTTAACTGACAATTTATAGAAAGAAGCCTAAAACTATCTGAGCAATAGAGAGACATAGCAACAACTGTATAGGTAAACTTACACAATTACTCAATAACATTAGTAACTATAACCTATAACACCTAATTCTCTGAACAATGGTAACATATGATGTTATAAATACTTGACTGCTTTTGGGTAATTGTAACTTACATATTCTATGAAGTTCACCAGCTTCACTGATCATTATATATCTCCCTTTTTCACCCACACTTTACTCTAAAGCAAATTGATTTACCATCATAAAATCTAGAAGAACCTATACCATTTATAACCTATTCTAATTAAACTTTTTACTCAAAACCTAAATAGTAGCTTCTCCAGGTTTAACTATTTTTCTACATTAATCTATTACCTACAAATGTTTCATTAATGCTTTTGAAACCTTTTACACTCCTTCCTCAGCATTATATATACCTATGTATAGGAGTTTGCTGCTCATTAAAGACATACTGTATACCAAAACATCAACGGTAAATATTCAGAATAGCTTTACAAAACCAATAACGATGATACTGGATCAATGAATTCCTCTCACTCTCTTCTACCCATACATATAGAAATTATGCAGTGGAAACCCCCAAAACTCCACAATCTTGGCCTTAATAGTAAGGCATGATTGGTACCAGGGAAACTGTATAATATGAATAAACAGAGAATTGGTTAAATGCGGGGGGGGGCTGTTCCCCTTACAACTCCTCCACATGGGTCTGCTGCCCCCTAATCCCACAATTTCCCTGGTATATTTCATGCCCTACCCTGCTATTGGGGCTAACATTGTGGGGGTTCAAATGGGGGAGGGGGGGGTTCGCTGCAAATGTCATAGACATCCAAGTATGGATAGTAGAGAGAGAGAGGAAGCCATCAATACCATTTAAACAATTATCACATCAAATTCCACTATTAAATATGTTTATAGTATAGGAGATCATACTCTAATGGAAATATTTTTTTGCTCTACATTAACTTTGAAAATACTTCCTTGGCCTCAAAATTTTTTACACAATATTGTGGAACATATAAACAAATGTAAATCTGTGCCGAGAAAAACTTTGTCATCTGTAATATGGGAATTTGCAGTATAAAACACGAACCAGCCTAAGGTCTAACTTGCCAGAATAAACACGTTCAAGGTTTGTTAGCTGTTTCCAGGGCACATAGCTGAGGAGAACACGGAATAGAATTACTAGGAAATTTTTTGATTTTGCAAGATGCTGCATGTATTCTGTTTCCAAACTTCCTTACGAGATATAGCTTATATTCTGAATTGCTTAATCTTTACAGTATGGATGCAATAAGATAAGACAGATTGAAGATGATATTCTTAAAGAAGACAAAAAGATGAAGTAGTTGGTACAAGAACTAATCATCAGACAAATGATAATGCCACAAATAATCGAAAAAGATTGTGGAAATTGACACTTACAACTGATGTTCACTTGCTGCTACTGAATTTTAGTTCAATCTTTAATTCAATAGAGAAAATGTTTGCCAAGACATATTGAGGGACAGAGCCCCCCATTAATCCTCCCCTTGGCCAGTGCCTGAACAGTATCCCCAGGCATAGCAAATAAAGTTGTTGAAAAGTGTGTAATATGGAGTGAGGGATATTCCAGTTATTCATAAAGCTGTAGCAACTGTGAAAATCTGTCTATCTACATTTTTATGTAAATGTTTGGAAGACAACTCAGCATACAACAATGAACGGTTAATCTTTATAGCAAGGACACTTTAAGGCAGGGCAAATTGAAGACAATATTCTTGTAGAGGACAAAAAGTTACAGTCATCAGTACTAGAAATAATCTGCAGGCTCGAACAATATTGCAATGAAGGAAAAAGATCAAAGAAAGCACTATTTATTGCCAAAATCCACTCAGTGCTCCCAAATTTTAGTCCTCTCTCACTGTGCATGCTGTGATGAAAAAGTTCCTGGGATTGTTGGGGGGGCGGAGCCCACCAACAACCCTCTCCTCAGGTAGTGCCCACCCAGTTATGGCACCTTCGATCATTGAATTAATTTTGTGATGTGGGGTTGGGAACATAGCATCTGCAAATGCATCCTTACTATAAAGAACTACCCAAGCAGCTTGTACTAAACAGCAAGATTTCCAAATCTCTTGGTGCTCCAGCAAAAGCCAACAAACCACGATCAATATTCTAGCAAGAAAAAAATTATAAACTTCCCTGGCAATTTACTTTCAAAAGAGTTGCCAGCTGAAGCCTAGTCTTGTCAGCTTCTACACGGAGGTTTGTTGGCCTTTGCCATAGCGAAGCACGGAGGTAGAATCTATGCTCTCACGCTGGAGTCAAATTGTAGGCCAGCGACTCTCAATGATAGGCAGTGAAGGAAGACACAACACAACCAGTTTAATAATGAGGAAAAAAATGCCATTTGGAAAGCCATTGTGGGTGTGACAGCTAAACATACACCTTAGGACCAATATCACAATAACGAACTCCTCATTAGTTTTCACCTGGAACAGACTCTTAAAATAAGCCAGTAACTATTTCTTGGTTAAAAAGATTGCTTTCCAATAGTACAAAAATGTAATTAAGGAAAAAAATGAAATATCCAATTTGTAATGAATACAAATAATGGTTAACCTAAATCTAATTAGAAGCTATTAATTTCATTGCTGAAAAAGAAAAAAATCAGCCGAATACTCACCATGTGTGATTACAAACGAAGGAGATAGTAAAATAATGGAAAAGCAAAGCGAAACCAATCCCCTCGGCTAAATTGGACATTCCGTGACGGCGTTTGGGTTCAGGTCAGGAAGCCCCACACTAAACATTTTCTCACGAAATCTCTGCATCTACGTCCATTTCCTGCTTTATTTTCCCCTTCATAAACTCAAATGGTGTTTAGGCAAAAGATAATCTGTGTAAAATCAGGAAAAAATCGCCGAGAGAATGTTATTCACTTACAACGAGGAAAAGGAGGAAAGTCGTGCATCCACTCTCGGTTCTCGTTGCGTTATGACCTTAGCAGACGGCTTCCAACATGGACAGGGATCCTG